AATAAGTTCCAAACAAGATGAGCAGATAACAAAAACACAGGCTTGGGAATTTTAAGTTACTGCCTATATTGTGAATTTCAAATAAAAAGTACAAAGAGCTAAAAGGATAAAAACCTGTTGTAAACACACACACACACAGAGTGCTGTCAGCAGGGCGTCCTGTCCTGCTAGAGCTGATTTTGTGAGTGAACCCATGAGAGCAGTGTCAGGGAGTGCCCAAACGGTAGAGCAGCTGTCTTGCGCTCTGCGGCTCTCAGGTTTCTTGCTGTTCTCTAGCCAACAGTGTGAATTTCCAGAGAATGAGGTCACATGCTAATGGTAACTCGAAAAAAATCATTCCACCAGAGAGACCCATCTAACAGACAAACATCCTCTCAAGACAGGACAACTTGACAACTGCCCACCCAGGCTCAGTCACATTTATACTTACAAGTCCTGAGTAAACAACACTAAAATGATTTGCTAACGATTATAAAACTTGTCTGTGGTCCACCGAGCACACCAAAGAACGACCTGTTCCTTCAGATCTGGTTACCCTCAGACTTCAAGAACGTCAACCTACTGAATGGATAAAAAAAAGCCGAAAAGCTTTTGTACTTTTTGAGTTGATTTGATGTAGATTTATACTTCAATTTAACAAACGCTAATGATGTCCACATGTGCACTCACCTACTGAATAACACAGCAGGTCGAATTACACTTATCCTATATATCCAAGATATATATTCGTAGGCTACATATATACATATGAAATACTTACCCTCAGACACCTTCTCTAAGACGTGGGTGACTTTGTCGGACTGTAGGATGTGCGCGTTCAAGTACTTTGTGAAGATTCCAGTACTTTTGCCCCCGTCCTGGACCTCAAACGCCTCAGCATCTTCACATCTGCATTGGTTAATCAAGGAAAATTTTATTAAAAAAGAAATTGCAAAAGATTTAGTTCTGCTTTTTGAATATGCATAACTTTCCATTCTATTCTCAGATCGCAGGCCAATTATAATTGTGGTTGCACTGTTAAATCTGTGAGTTGAAATATTTATAAAACAAATAAAAAGGAAGTACTTACGTAGCATAACCGTAAACAGTGTTCCCACTGGGTCCCAATGGCATGATGCATGAAGGTATGCAATCCTGGTTGTACCTTTAGAAAGTAAAATACAGTTTTCAGATGAAGGAAGCAATAAAATAAATCCTGATAACAAATTCAACTCATAAGGACAGTATAATAATCATTTGATAATAAATGTGAAAGTCCATGTGTCACTGTAATCTCTTGAAATTGAAATGAATAACTGCACCTACCATTTTCTACAGGTATCCAGTAGGATTACACTCAGTGCAGTGCGTCTTTTCTGCATGCTGAGCATGATCCTCTGCACACAGACACAGTTTTCGGGTCGGTACGGTTGTGGAGCATCAACAGCAACCAAGTAATTCCTCCCAGCGTGCTCATACCCGTGACCCGCATAGTAGAAAAGGCCTGTCAAGAGTGGTAAAATATACAGTTACTAGTTGCAGCTGTAAGATCATAAGAATTGTAGTAATCGCATGTTGCACTGCATATATTCTGCAATCCTGGGATATATAATATGTAATGTTTGGAGCAGCTTAGAGGAAGATCACACTGGGGAACAAAGAGACTGATTTCTATGCAGTATATGTTTCACACACAAGCTTATTCAATTCTGCGTGTTTTTTTGTTATTAGAAAAAAGAAACTAGAGGTTAGTATCAGAAAGTATCATTCTGACAGCATGACGGTTCTATTATTATTTTAATTTCATTGTCAACATACTTCCATATTACAGCTCTATGACTAAAGTGTGTACCCGTCTGGTGTTCAATAGTAGTAATAGTGGTGGCTTAGTTTCACATAACAACACAACAATAACAATAAAAAAACATAAGTAGTTGTTGATGCTACATGCTCTAGCTGAATGTTTTCATAGACTACATTGCCAACTTTCTTTTTTAAGACTATATAACTGATTATCACATGCAGAGAGACTTAAGTTTAGATAACTGTTTGTCCTTTAACCTCTACAAATACTATGTAAATTTACCCTCTAAAAGTGTTACAGCAGAGCTGTGAACATCACCTAAGCTTCTTTTTAACACTTATCTGCCCACTTAGCCACAGATACATGTAAACCAAGATACTATACACATGGGAGCATGTCTGATGACAAGTACACAGATAATGAACACAAAACACGACAAAGGAAGTTACGATGTTATATTTCAGATCCTTCAAATAACTATGTCAGCATTTCTCCAAGGAGTGCAGTTGAAATAACTGACAAATGTAGCTATTTCAGAAAAAGAAAATATGTATCGGCAAATTATACTAACCATAAACTCCTCTGTCAAGGAGCTGAGTAAACTTGTCAATAGCAGCCAGCATCTCATCCCTGGTGAGATCTAGCAGCGAAACCACTCTGAAACCAAGCTGCTGCAGGAGGTTGGCCAGCTCATGTACGTCCATTATGGGAGCCATCAAGTCAGGGTGGTTGGAGTAATTCAGGTTGCCAATAAGGAGGGCAACTTTATCAGTGGCTAAAGCAAAGTCAAAGTAGAATTTGGATTAAAACACACAAGAAAACTCAAAGACATACCATGGTAGTTTTGCTCTCTAGTACACTTAAAGTAGCATGCATTGACACAAAGTTTCTTCATAAAAAACTGTACCTGTGAGTACTGCAGGAGGAAGCTGATCCATTTGCACTAGAGGATTAAAAAAGAGAGAAGCACATAATCTTTAGTTCAACAAATATCTGATCTGAGGTACTCTGGTTCAGTCCACAGGGCACATACAGGGTGGTACGATTTAACAATTACGATTTAACTGTATTTCTATGATTTGCACTGTACACACAGTATTTCACGCAGATGTTTAATGGGATAAGAACAATGATTCAAAAAGATTTTTTTAGCCCTAATTTAAAATGAACTGGGCGATTCCAGATTTCACACATGTTGAATGGGACGAAACAATGAGTAAACAATAACTAGCACAGCACGGCCTTTCATCTTTCTATCTCATGCATTCTGCCTTTCACTTACTGCCTCTGTCAGAATTTCGTCATTGAACCACATGACTGCAAATGTATTGCAGCACACCCAGCTAATCATGACCCTGTGATCGAGTTTCATCTACAGCTCATAGAGAGGCTTCACATCTAAAAATTCCAAATTTCTTATAGCTATACACTATATAAGAAATCATCTTTACATAGTAACGTAAGTAGATGTGTTACTGTTAATACACTTGTATATATCTATATAGTGATAACTTCCTTAAGTACTTTAGCCAAAAAATACACTTTATACCTTTTATATAATTCTTTCCAAGTACTCACTATTATATGAGTCTGGAAAGACATTGACTTGACTGGTTGGTGGAGGCATACAATGCGGGTCGGTAATTCTAGTTTCACTTTGCATCATTTTCCTGTTGTGTGTGCGGGCACGAATGAAGTAGTATTTGGAGTCTAACAACTTCCTTTTTACTCTGTAGAAATGGGAAAGTACCACCAGCATAATGGAAACAACTTAAAGCCTAAGTGCTAAATCAGTGGAATGAAAGGAGTGTAAGATAATGTTTTATGAGCACAGTTATCTTTTTGGAAATGGGGGCGGTGGGTAAATGATACAATTGGGAAAAGACAGACTTTCACCAACTTGATAAAAGTTTCAGTTATGACTTACCAACGTCAACATCGACTGGTTCAGTCCATCTTTCTTCCAGCACATTAGATATGGAGCACAGGTATGATCCTCTGTGTTCAGCTGTTGCATGCTCAATCTGCACATACAACAATAAATTATCTTCCAACCACTGTTTGTCTTTCTGGCTATTCCCGCACATATAAGATTACTCAACCATAAATCAAAACTTTGGCAAAATATTAACCACATTTTCTAAATGAATCACATGTTTGGTGAAGGGTGCATCATCCAGAGTAAATATAATACTGTGTTCTTTACACAGGCACCCATCACTGAGGTTTGTAAACACTTCCTTACCTGCAGAGTGTCACCAGTCTTGTCCAGAAGCGGCTGTCCATTTCTGTACCACTGATAGCGTGGAGTGGGGATGCCAAAGGCAGTGCAGCGGAGAGTGAGTTTTTTACCTTCTCGGACTGTCTGGGGTTTTGGGTTGACAGCAATGTGTGGTTCCCCCTGCCAGTGCACTGGCAAACCTGATGATATTTGAAGAGAGAGACATAGAGATTCAAACCCACGGCAATAAACTAGCAATATGCACAAAACTGATTAATTACCAGCTGACAGGCTGGGGCAATGCTGCAAGTATGAAAAACAACCACCACACTACTACAGTGTAAATCAACATGAAAACGGAACAATGCATACCTGACTTATCAATGTCCAACACCTTCACTTTAACCCACTCGCTGAACACGCAGTTACAGAACTGGTCATTCACTCGGCACACATAGAGCTGAGTTTTTTTAGCTCTGATGGTCAGGTCTGCTTCAGTGCCACCACACACCTTGAAAACAAAGCATAATAATAATAATAATTATAACCAAGCTTAAGATCCGTGCAAGACTGCATCAAAGATCTTCTCCATATAACATGTTTACTTGTTGTTATTAATTTGTTATTCTAAGTAGCTGGTTAATCCTTTATCCATTATATTTATTCCTATATTTCACTGATGAGAAGACACCCACCTGTTCAGTGCACCAGAACAAAAATGTCCAGGATGAGCTCATACACAGCTCATACACAGTAACACACAGTTAAGTGAAATCCACATACCTCCTGTTCATCATCAGTGAACCACTGGTAGTTGAGGATGCCTGTGCCCTCAGCACGGACGCTCAGAGTCACCTTATAGTTCACAGGCACACACACAGAGACAGGATGTCGCACTATGACAATTTCTGAAACAAATCAAGGGAGAAAAATCACACTGGGTTTTCTCTATTTAGAAAAATCTCAGCATATTTGGACGCTGGTGTGTGAGCTATAACATACCGCTGATCATTATTCGACAGGGTTTGGGTCGGGATCCAGTCATCAGTGCATGTTCTGCTTCTTCTTACACCAGACTGTAGGAAGTTGAATTAAAAGTTTAACATTCGTATTTCTGAGTGGACTCCCTATTGTACCGGCCCAAATTGAAAAACCAAGAAAACGAAGGAATTATTAAAAACCAGGAAATCGCAGTAAACTTAATGTCTAATCTCAGCTAACTTCTCGTTTCTAGTAAGGCTTTTAATGTACACCGCAGTTAACAATGCTGTATATTCAATTAGAAATGTCCTAATCTATACATGACAAAGTGTAAAACTTCCATTAAATACACATGTTGTATGTAAATACCTGCCGTCAGCCTCGTAGCAGTTGACTCTGTCGCACTGAGAATGTTTTCCTCCTCTCAATGTTCATAACTTGTATTTTATTGAGCAAACTCTTCCCTTTCCCGGAACGAGACAGTCTACACGCACATATTACCGACCAGCCCATAATATGGGAGCATCTAATAAAACATAAAAAGCCTTTCACCTATGGTATGCTGAACAATATATATATTTATTTAGATTTTAAAATAACAGTATGCTTTGAATTCAAAAACAGCCCAAAAAAACAACAATTAATCCCGGATAAGTCTATAGGAAGAATGTAAGGGAGATGCAAGTAGAACCAGTTTTTGTGACATTACGGTAATGAGCAATCTGGCTCCTTTTCAGGTGCTGTACAATCACAGCCTGAGGTTGATTTTAGGGACAAAAATGTGCTCTTGAAAATCACACTGCGTTTTCACTGAGACTGAGAAATCATAGGCTAATCTAGATTCAGCCTGCTTTGTGTTGATTTAATGACAAAGAGATCCAACACAAACCTCACAATATTCTTCTAAATCTTCTATTCTTGGCTTGTTTACACAGAAAACAACCTTTCACACTCACGAATTGCCCAACAGTAT